TCGTTCATTCGAGTCTTTCTGTATGTACTACTACCTATTACGTGGTATCAAAATAAATTTTAATAATTCTGGAAAATCGGAGAATGACGTCGCTATAAAAATTTCTTATGCACCTTGCACCCTTTACCTCTTTATTAGCCCAGGGATGGGCAAATTTTATATAAATAATGGATGACGAATAAAAAATACTGCACAGCTATTTTATCCATTGATCAATTTTTTAAAATAAGCTCCTTCAACACGAAATGTAATTTTATAATTCGCTATTTGATTGAACAAAGAATGTGTCAGAGGTTGCTCATCTGTTGTTGTTCGAAATTTTTGTCTAGATAAGAATTATGCCCATTTCTGACTGTTCACGTACGAACCGTGACTTTTAAAACGCACCTTTGCGTAGTGTTAATAAGCTTCTGGCGAAAGTACCAATTTATGCCTTTCTTCAGCTGTCTCCGGCTCCTTTTTGAACGTAAACCTTCTGGCTCCTTTGAAACGTTCCCAGAAAATCATGTCCGGAAGAGATGGTGACACGCAATCAGTCTGCGAAACATTTACCACTTCTTTAGTACTTCACGAACCGTCACATGTGGCCTGCAGGCTCGTTTCAGGCGCTGAAGTTACAATAAAAGAAAGGGAACCAAACGTGACTCGTCCTGCGTTTATGACTCGTCTTCGATAGATGGAGTGATTTAAATAACTTTCGTGCAGAAATTAAGTTACATAGTTGGACTAAAACTCAACGTTCTTCTTATTCATAAATTTGATAAAAACTAAAGAAATTTGAAATTATTTTACGGAAATATGTACAAGAGTCAATTGTTAAATATTAAATCAATAATGAGATCGTTAATTGTGCCAAGAAAATTTTCATTTGACATTGTAATATTTTAAGGTAAAGTTATGTATAGTTTGAAAGGCAGTATTGAAAATAAAAAAAAAAAATGAACTTCGAAGACCCAAGTTTCAGACAGAGAAATATTCGATGCAAGGAATCCACTTGATTAAATCAATGACCAAAGAACATTCGAAGGATGGCTATTGATGGATGGTCTCCTGACCACGTGGCAATCACTATGGAGGGACAAAGAGACGAGCGCTAGAAGTACATGCAGTCAGCGGAAACTAGATTTTTTGCTGCCAAATTGATTTCCTGGGACTTTCTCCCAGGCTCCCAATCGGCTGGAGATGGAGCCAGTGATTCCATTTGTTAAGACAGAACCATGTCTATTTAATGAGATTTTTTATTTTCTGAGTTTCATACAGTAAATTCAATTTTACATCACAAAATTACATACACTTTTTTAATTACATCTACATTTCCTGACACAGCCAGGATTTAAAAATCGCAAGTGCGGATAAGGAGATCCATTGTTCGTCGCAGATTTTCGTTTCGAACATGGTCCGTGAGGCCGCGATCATGAATTGCAAACACGATCGGTTGATGAAAGTAAAGTTTCCTCGCTGTTCGAAAGAGAAAGAGCCCATCTCGTGGGAAGCTCTAGAAATTATTCAACGAAACTTCGTCAACGCCCCAGAAGAATTAAATGTTTCCTCGGAGAACAAAGGGTACGCCTATGTTCGCCGTGGATGAAACCTAGGATCAGGGGAAGCTTAAAAAAGAATCTTTGGAAACCAGAATACGGAGTGCGTAATAGCGTCAAAGAGACTTTGGATAGAGTGACATATAATAACGTTGGCTTGATCGAAATTTAATGGAACGCTCCCTAAAGATATACGGGGTGATTTTGGTAACTGGGCCAGGCCTTGATTTAAGGCAGAAAAGGAGATGGAAATTTTAGGTGGGTTAATGTCCTGTATTTTTGTGTAGCTGTACTTCTTTCTTGAGTGCATCGGTACATTTGCCGAGTGCAATTGCACTTGGACGTTGTGCTACTTTAAAAAAGCTGAATTCGTCGAATCGGATCAGTTTTATTTTTCGTTTCTTTAATGTTTCAAAATTATATCTCAAAAACATTTAACAACTTGTGCAATTTGTTCATCAGGTAAAAGGAAAGGATACATTTGATCAGTGTGATGATTACCACGTGGCTCTAAGCACTGATCATTTCAAGTCTCATGATGCGTGAATAATAATTAAATTCCATCTCTTTTATTATTATAAATATACGATAAACAGACAAAAAAATTATAAATTCTTTATTAATGCCACATTCTTTCAATTTTTCACTTTTTCCTGTGACTCGAATAGGTTAAAAGGAAATTTAGAAGTTTAAACAAGTAACGAAGTAATGGATATGTTTAAGTAACGTTCCAATAATAACTAATTGTTAAATATTTCCTAAAGCATTGATTTCTAGAAGCCATTTGAAAAGGAGTGCAATTGCACTTTGCAAATGCATTGATACATCTATGAAAAATATTTTGTTACGATAAAGTAAAAGTATGTGAAGACGTTGCAATTTTTGATCCACGAATCCATCTTCGCATGTAACAGAGCGTGTCCCACTACTAGATCCACCCTGTAGATGTGAAGAAACGACGGTTTCATCGAGCGAGGAGAATGAACAGCTTAATAACCGCTTTGATGTCGCAACCTTCGTCGCACGACACGTGAACCCTTGTGGACAGTGTAATTTCAGCGATTCGGTACGCGCCACGACGACCCCTTATTTGTATAATTTATTTTGCAACAGGACATGCATAGCTAACTGGATATTTATGGGATAGGCAAGTAGACCACGCACGTTAAATACTCGCGTTAATAATTCCGTGCACGATCGTCGAATAGAACTGCATAGAATGCGCTAAGTTTCAAACGGTGGTAGACGAAATTGTGCTTGAATAATGGACAACAAATAAACCCTGCGTATTCCAATTTATTTTTGAATGAATATATTATCATTTAGATTTAACAATTAAATTTTGAATTCGTTGCGAGATGTTTCCATTCCGCGATGGAATCGAGGGATTTATGTCGAATATTTAAATAGAAACTTTGAACATGTTGACGGAGAGGGTGGAAGTCGTCAAATTTGTATTTAACACATTATGTATTGCAGGCAACAGAACAATATTAATGATTTGATTATTTTTTGTGCCTGAAATTTAATTATTTTATACATATATTTAAGATCACTATATCTTGCTTTGCAGTTTCGTTGTAGAAATAATAATTCCAGAGTACGATAAAAATGGAGCATAAGATACTTTAACTAACCTCTTCATAATCATATTAATGAAATAAATTAAAGGTGTCGATATCTGGGGTTAACGTAGCAATTAGGAGCACTTACCTTAATAGATAAAAATGCATCGATCACGTTGAAAATTGGATGGGTTAGAGGCTAAACGAGAGTAAAAAGAAACCAACGTGTCCCGAAGGTAAAGGAAGATTGTCTTCAAAGCTGATGCGTAATTTGAGTATTTTTTTTGCATCGAGTAATCGGAAAAAATGATTATCCTGTCGATGCTGCGAAGATCGTAACTAATCGAGGATTCATGGGAAAGAGAAGCGGACCGTGCACGTTAAATTCGCGGGTTAATAATTCTCTGCACGATCGTCGAATGGAACTGCATAGAATGTGTTAAATTTCATCGGCGTTCGGCCTAGAATTACTATGACTGCAATTTAGATAATCCTACGTGCACGTTAATATAGAGATCATTTTGAACGTTCGAATAATTTATGGTCTATAGCCTTTGACAAAGCTTACTAGTTAAACGGAAAATGAATCGATTATTATACAGTATTGTCTGCGTAAAGTGTTGTAGAATTAGAACTACGAAAAGTCTTCTAATTAATACCTTCTAATTTACCTCCTGAAATGTTATTTTAAATTGTATCAAATTGTGCGTGGTGGGATGGAACGTTTTAAGTAAATTTGATTTGTTTTCAGATAAGCTATTTGAAAATGCAAAGATTTATGTACCATTCCATTAAAAAACATGAAGGGCGGCATCCCCTAGGGACACCGTTTCATAAAAGGACCTCGCGACCCCTATAGAACCCACAAAAATTGTATACATAACTATAATAGTTTCTAGAAAAAACAACTGGTACACTTTATGTGGGCTAACATATAAATTCTATTTACAATTTTTTGTTGTACTTGTACATTACAATTTATATTATTTGTAGGATTATACTAAAATTTATACTACATAGAGTACAAGCCAAAAGGGGAAAGATTCTTTGCAGAAACTTAATAGTTTGAGAATTATTTATTGTTTAGTACAGTAATGCTCCATTTGTTAGGGTCTACGCAATTAGCTGTAAATTTAAATAAAAAGATTATATCCACCGCTCACGGCCACGCCTCTCCGCGATCGCGTCACGATTCCAGCTCTCGTTTCATCGATTTACGTTTATTATCAAAGAAATGTCAGAGAGTTCGAACATGTCAACAAATATCCAGCGCGGGTATATATTGACGGGCTGTTTGTAACGATGCAGCAAAATGTTGACCCACCAGGATCCGATATTTTCCGTTTTGCGTTCACGCATCACAGTGGAACGCATTTCTGAAATTGAAATATTGTAACAAATATTAAACGCTGAATTTATATTCGAGAAAAAAACTGGAAAATGTTTATTAGCGATTCGTAACACTGTGTTTACACAGCAGATTATCGGAATTCAACTTTCATTTTATTTTAATTAAACTGTAATTCTCAAATTTTATTTTCATTGTACTCGTTCGACACATTGTATTTTTGAGTTGGTCACTTTCGATGGACACTTTTCTTTAAAGAATCGGATACGATGTGATTTGATATAAAGAATATAGTCATCTACGTTTTTATACACTAGTAATTTTATTTTGCGCTTCCATTTGGATTTTAAACCGGCCTCCATCTTGGCCTAAAGTATCAAATCCTCGTTACTAATAAATAACGAGATGCAGCAGATGTGTCGCTATAAATATATTTTGAAAAAAAGCATAATCTGTTTTAATCCCACTCGAGTTGAACGATTAAGTAAGAATAATTTGACCGGGTGCACCGTGGAGATAAATTAATCTTTGCATTTGTTCTTTTTCCAGCCTACAAAGCTGAACGTTTACAAAAACGACGCAGAGAGCTGGGACTACACGACGCCGGCGCTTGGTGAGTTTCCACCCTTGTTTCTTACCCTTCTCTATCGCTCCATTTCTTGATTTTTATATCTGTTATTTTTCTTTTGTTCTTCACATCGATGTTACATCGAGGAGCGTACCCATACACGACACGTTTCCCTCTCAGAGGTGGGCAAAATTTTATTCGAACGATAGACGACGAATAGGAACACTTCAGCGACTTATTAGCGATATTTATTCAAGCGAATAGTAACAGGGATTTGTTTTGATTTGTTCAACGTGAAATTTTATTCTATAATTCATATTCATACTTCAAAAAAAAAAAAAATGGACACAAAGTTACATATCCGTTACTCGTTTTTCGTTATAAATCTACGATAATTTAGTTTCAAGTAATCCATCATTTATTCAAACTTAAAATCTTCTGTTTAATGTCATTTAGAGTCGTGTGCATTTAATACTTTTGGAATTTTAGAATATATATCCTAAAAGTAATTATTAATTCTTCGGAGCAATTATACAAATCCGAGTCACTCTCGATCATCTTCGGGCTTCTCAATTAATACACAAAATCTATGAAAGTAAAAGGGAAGTAAGATTATACATTATATTTCATTTTTCAAACACCTCCTCCTCCAAGAATCTCTTTTCAATATTAAAACGCCTTCACGTATTATTCACAACAATTAAGAAACCTGAAGCAGATGAAATGTTATCCATCGAATTAACAAAATTCATACGCTAGCTTCGAACAACCACCAATTACGTTCTACATACTTCCATATTCTGTCACAGTTGCGAAAAGACTCCAAACAAATAAATGAAATAACAATAACCCTGTGGCACAGGTATTCACAGTTATCAGACAAAAATTCCCAATATTGAGCCACATGAGCCAGTTTACCATTCGCGGACGATACACCATGATTCCCCCGAAGAATAAATAAATTTTGCCCATCTCTGTTCCCCGCTCGACTGTTCAGCCATTGGCGTCACGTACAGGGGCTGCTGCGTGCACGAAATCTCACTCGACGCACCCCCTACGAGGATCGTTCCCTTTCGCGCCCTGTGCTCGTCTCGCGGCCGTTCCTCCTAATTTTACGGCTTTTCAAGCGGCCTCTTTTTTCCTGCCTGCGTCTTCTTGGCCGTCGGAGGAGACGTTAATTGGATAAAACGTAGCACGAACGCGGGCTTGGAGGGTTTCCGTAAAATGCATCCCTCGTTAAGCTCGTGTACGCGTCGCCGTCGGGGCGCGCGTACGCGGAAACGTCGGGAGCGTCGATCGGACCGCGATGAGAGTCGTTTTAAAATTCCAGAAAAATGGACGCGACGAGTCCACTCCGTGGAACGTGGCTCGATTTGAATTTCTGATGTCATTTAACGCCACGGACGATCGGTGTGAAAAGAGTTTCGCGTAAATTCGAGACGTTCCTCGGCTCTGTTGAATTCAGAAGCGTGTTATTTAATAGAAAAACTGCGAGGGCAAAGTTTATTTTTAATATGTAAAGGCGATGTTAGCGCCACTTTCTTTCGTTTAATGTGGGAAAGATGAGAATAATAATGGATTGGTGTAAACTTGGTCGATCTTTTTTGTTGAATTAGGCAGCTTGGTTTTTTCATTAAAATTGTACGAGTGGAAAATTTATTTTAATGCATAAGAACGTAGTTAGAATTCGCTTCACTTCTTTATTCAACGGCTAGACGAAAGAGATGAACAAAATGTTCGTTGCGAATAAATTTGAACAATTTCTTGGAAGAGTCCCGGTTGTTATTCTTTTTTATCAAGAATAATATTAAATGAAAATTTGAAGGTTAAAATCATTATTTTGGTGCATAGAATATCAAATCAAATTTACTGGATTAATATAATTGATATTTAATATTCCTGTGGGAGTTATGGTCTCGAACAACCTACTATTTATTTTACGTTTCGAGTCTTTGTTACTCTCATTTTCAAAAACCAAGTGGAAAGTATAATTGTCTTTTCTAAATTAATTTTAGTCAATACCTTTTATAAAGTAACTCTAGTAAATGTTTCCTATGCGTTCGTTTTATTAATGAATTGTAATAACTGTCTGTTATAACTGGGCTTGAGTGAATATCTCTCATAAATGAATCAAAGTAAACGGTCTTTTATAAATGAATTTTAGTTAACGTCTTTTATAAACGAATTCTTTCATAGATGAATCATAGACAACGTATTCACGATCTAATTTAAGTAAATGTCTCTCACTTGTCAATTTAACAAACTCCATCGGACCGTTGCCATGTTCTTGAAAATCACTCCACACCAAAGAATTGAAACATGAAATAAATACTAGTTCATTCGAGGCTGGAAAATTCCCCAGATAAATCTAGCACTCCTTTCTCTTCGTCAAACAAAATTGCATCGGAATTGATTCGGAACGTTTCCAACGCCTTCGAATAAACTCTCAGCGTATCACGCGTTTGAGTAATTTTATTTTTCATCCGCGTTGACATAGAATTCTGTTCGTTCTAGTACCAATCGCGGAGTAATCGAACGCGTGGGGGGGGGGGGGGGGCGGCGATCCGCGTCGAGAATCGTTTTAAAAGAAACATGAACACGAGGAACGCCCGTCCATAGAGAACAGTTCGATTCACGTTGCCGATGTCGCACAACGACGCGCGAAAAACGTCCTAAATACGAGGCCGTTCCGTAAGCGTCGCGAGAATTTTATTTTTCGAATTACTTTCCAATCGACGTCCCTTTCGTCGCGGAGGCCAACGACGGGGAACGATTCTGGTGCGTCGACGCGAATCATTCTCAGCGCGTCCGCTACTCGCATCGATTCGTCGCGTGTTACAATTCGACAAACGAACCAAACAATTCACGCAACCAGACACCTAGCTGCGAGCCAAAATTCTATTCGCAGCACGACGAAAATAATTGACTGAATTCAGGGAAAATCGCGATTGGCAGATATTCAGTAGTTTCTTTTAGGAATTTTATTTATGGTAGAATCGTGGGAGTAGTTTGTAGGAATTATGATTCAAAAGGATTTTCGAAGGAGGCTTCAGGATTTTGTTGTTTAATAAATCGAGTGGATTATATTTGATTTGTGTGATTTTTATAATTTATCGTATCTGTGCAATATGTTTAGATTAATGTCGACGCTGGCAGGTGTACTTTGTTACACCAAAATAAAATCCTGAAGCTTCCTATAGTAATTATGTTTTCTGTTACGATGCTAGACTTAATAGCGAAATATGATTGATGAAAAATGTAAAAGTAAGAGAAATAACAGTCAAGTAAAACTTTTCTATACGATTCCAACAAATATTAATTTGATAATACTTGAAAAAGAGTACGTTTTGTTCAAATGAATTTTTACACACTAGCATTAATTCCAATCGATATTTAATATTCTTTAGAACTCGTTATCGAAAACTATTGTATCAAATTTTACGAGTTAGATCGAGCAATTTTAATTACTTCACACTTTAGAAAGAAACACTCCGGGAAATTCACTATCGCATTTCTCTAAACGGTAAAAAAATATTCCCTGAATTTTCCAGCGCGCAATATAAATTCATAGTGAATAAAAACACGCACACAATTTTTAATTTTCTACCAAGAATATTACTCTCGTCATGGATCTAAAAAACTCTGAAACGAAACGTGGAGAAATAAAAATTAAAATCTACATCCCACACACATGCACCCAATGCATTGGAAACTCCCAAAAATATTTCTCGTTCGTTAATGGTATACATTATACGAATAGGGCAAACACAAGTATACTCCTCCTGCGTTTTCTACCCCCCATAATGAAAGAAATTACTGAATACGCTGTTTTCGCTGAAACGGTTTAATTGCTTCTGTCGGGGCTACGAATAAATTCTCGTCCAGCGTGTGCATCGTTTTGATGCTCGGATAGGAAGCGACACGGGAGGCCCACGCTTCGACGGAAACACCGTGCTCAACAATTCCGCGGCGAGCCTGTGAAACCTATGGCAAAAATGAAAAAAATGACTCGTGATATCAACGCGCGCGATCCATTCCAGCGTGCGATAAAGGCGTTTGATAGCGGTTCGCAGTGACATTTTATTCGTTTCCGTCGCGGCCGATTTGCCCTGTTGGGTGGCTCCTGCACGCCGATGGAATCGCGTTTCACCCTGCCGCGTGAATTAACGTTTCCCGCGCGCCGCCGAGAAATTTTCTTTTGACCCAGTTCGAATTTCGCACGCAGCTGGCGAACGTTCTGCCTCCTGGCCCCCTCCGCGGTGAATCCCAGTTTTCAAACTGATTTTCTACGGAGCGAATCCGCACGCTACTTTTCGCGCTCGTTACGTCCGAACGATGCTGACGTTGCCTCGGCGTCCGAAAGTCTCGAGAACACCTATCATTCAAGAGGCAACTTTGGTGCGGCGTTTCCCGAACGATTTTTCCACGAAACACTTCTCATCTTACATATTCATTACATAACAGATCAAATGATATGAGATTAAGACGAAGAAATGGACGTCGTACACGGAATACCGCTTGGGGTGGGGAAATTCAAAATAAAACCTAGAACTAAAAGATTTGATGAGATAAGTGTAACGTTACGGGTTGTAATATTGTATAGCTTGTCTAGGAATCTTTCGTGGTGTATATTTTTCATTCCTGAAGAGCACTGAATATTCCTTGGTGTGGAAAAATTCAAATGAAACTTAGAATTATTAAAGATTATTCGATGAGATAAATGTAATAGGTTGTTGGACATGTACTCAATTTAAAATTAGGTTACGTATTCTTTTTTTTTTCCATTTCTCAAGAGCACATCTTAAAGAGGAATAAATCATACCTCATCAGTCTTCATATTTAGTCTGATCGCAGGTGATCAATGCTAATTATTTGAATAAAAATACACGTACATTGGTTATAAAATTAGATGAATATTGATGCTTATTTTACACAAGAAAAACTATATACACATACGTCAACATTATATGCGTTAAAATCTACTTAAAGTCTCTTTACAAATGACATCCACCTGTACTATATAATTCACCATAACATACTCGCAG